CGCCTCCACCCCGTCCTAGTGTTTCATAAAAGATTTAATGGAGCCTGCAGATACAAGCCAGAGGAGGAGCGCTTAATGTGAGAGCCGGGAGTGCTGTCATCGCAAGGGGATGATAGGGGAGGGTGTTCTGCTGGGACTGTGTCGCGCAAGGGAAGCATATGGCAACACTGCTTCTTTCAATCACTTCTAAATACATCTACACATGAAGCCCATGGCACACACACGCCAAATATCCATGCACCCCCACGCAAAAGGTCACCGCTGCAATCAGATAAGAAGTCTTTTTTATCCATTTCCACTTCTCTCTCCCCTCCCCATGAAAAACCTTAGCAAGTGTTCGCTCCCCTCAATCCTGCTCGTTCAGTGCAGGTTCCACAAATCTGCCCCATATTCCCAAAATATCCCTCTAAAAAATCTTACGGGCATTTGGCTTTCAGCCTAATGAACTCGAGGGTACTGTCTCCGAGAGGAGGGAACATGCCTCTCCTCCAGGGCATTCAGCACGCAAGAAAGCATGCCTTGCAGACAGTGTTTCCTTCTTGCAGATATTAAAGGCAGCAAAGCTCCCCCCATCCGCCCCGGGACATGGGTCCAGCCAACCGAGCTGCTGCAGAGCCCAGCGGGGAGATTTGCAGAGCCCTGCACACACACGCCCCAGGTGAAGCCAACGTTCCCAACGAATCAAACGAGGGAGCGGGAGGACAGACTCATTAATCCTGAGGAGCCCCGGCCAGGCCGCTTTACTCCAAACTCCTCCTCGGTTTTAAGCGTGGGGTGAAAAAAAAATCACTCCCGGTCCCTGCGGGCCTCGGGGTGTCGGGGGGAGCTGCGTCCCTCGGCGCACCCCTCCATCCCCAGAGGGGAAGGTGCCCGTTCCCCGCGGGCGGGCGCGTGCACCTGCCCGCTGCGGGCGCCTGGGCGCAGGGCAGGTTTACCTTGAGGGTGAGCGGCGTGATCTTCTCCTTGTTCACCCCCTCGGGTAAGAAATCCAAGAGGCAGTCCAAGACCACGTCCTTCACAGTCTGAAACTCGGCTTCCCCTTTGAGGTCGGCGCAGAAGATGAGGTCCAAGTCCTTGTAGCCCAGGCCGCTGTCCTGGTGGAGGACATGGCTGGCGGCC